CATCAGAAAGTTCACAGTGAAACTGCCAGTCATTTCAATGCCTAACCCTGACTCTTAGTCTTCTGAGATGCTGCAGTTGCAAGGAGCAGTTGAAGTGAGGACCTTTTTTCCCCATGAGGCAAGGCTTCCCTTTCCTCGCAGACCCTGATCCCCCCACCCCCCCTTTTAAAAAAACCCATCCCGACTACATGTATCACACAGTGGCATATTTTAGGTTCAAAACAGCAAATTCTGCCAAAAGGTCAAAAGTTTACATCCCTGGTATCTGTAAGGATAAGGCGATACAATGCGTATCAAGATAAGAGACTTTAGATAAGAGACTTTATTGTCATTGTATCAAAAATACAAGAAATTTATTTGGTAGTTCACAGCTCAGCAGCAAAGAGTAAAATACAATATGAAAAATATATTCCCTAGTGCATTCTACAGTGTGTTGGATGAAAAAATCCTAAATTATTTACAGATTATAGGTATTTACAAGTCAATGTGATTTTAAGTGACCAAGTGCATATCAGCAGCAATACAGGCCAAGTTTGTTTGTAATTTCCCCCTAAACAACACAATATAACAATCAGGGTGTGACAGCCGGCGTTCCGCGAGCAGGCAGGAAGCGGGGAATCCCGAGCCGGGCAGACAATACTCTAAATACGGGGTTTTAATGGGGATAAACAGGACAGCACGGTACATACGTCAGTGACAGATCAACAGTCATTTGGTTGTGGAACCAATTGACTATACTTTAATTCACCGTGTACCGTATTAATTTCCAGACTAATTGATTACCTATCCTTCATAAGAGCTTCATATGACCATGCCCCCCCCCCCCGAAGATCGCGACAACCAGTCCTCAAACATGCGTGTGGTTCTGGTAAATCAAATCAATTTAAAGTCGAACTGCTAAATCGCGATTCTTTACCGTTTTCCAACCATTATAGCTTCAGGCGTTATTAAATACCGATACTCCGTATCTAGCTCGTTCGTAAATGTCTAGCTGGCTTCATTTTTAAAAAAAGCAATACAGCAGTTTAGTGACCGAACCATGTTGTTCTCTCCCAGTTACATATTTCTATTTATCCTCACGTATTTAAAACGTTTATATGAAGTTTGTCGGTTAATTAGAAAGCAAGCTTACCTCTTGAGTTTCTTTCGCGGCGACACTTATCTGTCTGATCATGCCACCAATAAAACACTTCTGCAAAGTTCCTGGAGTGATGCAATCGGCTTACAATGTTGCAAAAAATAAAAAGGACCCATAGAAATGTAGGTGGGTAAATTCTGGGAACCGGTCCAGGTTTGACCTGGTTATTCTTGATCTGTACTTCGCAGGTTATGAACAGTGGCGGTTTTAGGCATGGGCGAACGGGGCAGCAGCCGGGGCGCCATTTTTTCATCACACGAAGCAGTTTTCTATTATCTATGATACTTGTGCCGCCCCTGCTGCTGAAGGAGCCGCACAGAGGCTGAGCGAGCGGAGAGGGGAAGGATGGGTAAATTCTGGGAACCGGTCCAGGTTTGACCTGGTTATTCTTGATCTGTACTTCGCAGGTTATGAACAGTGGCGGTTTTAGGCATGGGCGAACGGGGCAGCAGCCGGGGCGCCATTTTTTCATCACACGAAGCAGTTTTCTATTATCTATGATACTTGTGCCGCCCCTGCTGCTGAAGGAGCCGCACAGAGGCTGAGCGACCGGAGAGGGGATGGATGGGGGCTCCTTTGGGGGAGCGCAGAGTACAGTTCACCTCTCCCAAATGAAGCGGACAAGGAGGGGGGGTTAATTATGTCAGT